AACGGACAGCTCCTAACCTCCAGCACGGAGCGTGCTTCCGCGTTGGCGGCGCACTTTGCTTCTGTATTTGCAGATTACCAGGCGTGCACCACCCTTACGAAACTCGATAGTGTGGATTGTGACGTGGAAGAGGTGCGTCAGCTAATCGAAAATTTTGACGGCACCAAGCCTGCTGGGCACGATTAGCTCCACCCCTGATTCACAAATCCTTATCCGCCATCATTCCGCCTGCCGTAAATGACCTGGTGAAAAGGTCTCTGTCCGAAGGTATATTGCCGGTTGATTGGAAATGCTCGGTCGATTCCGAAAAACTGTAACCACAACAAGGTAGACAATTACAGGCCAATTTCGCCAAGGTTGCAGAGAAGATTGTAAAGAAATGTTTGCTAGTTGTTCCGGTCAAAAACCTCCTGACGCCCGCACAGCACGGTTTCACGGCAGGTCGTTCATGCATGGGTGCAGGCAGTAAACCAAGGGTAGCCTGTTGACGTGATCTACATCGATTTCAGCAAGGCGTTCGACAAGGTGAACCATGAAGTCCCCCTTCTAGAGATGAGTGTGTGGTGTTGGTGGATCTCTGCAACAGTGGATCCGGAACTTTCTCGTTGGACGAAAATGGAGGGTACCAGTTGATAGCCAGCTGACAGATTGGTATCCTTCGATCAGTGGCATACGCCAAGGCACGGTGCTGGGGCCTAAATTGTCCCTGATTTATATCAACGACCTACCTCAGCTTCTTCGGTCGCCGTGTGCCCTGTTTGCAGACGACCCGAAGATATGGAGAGTGAGAAACATACTCGACGACTGCGGCTTACTACAACAAGATCTAAACCATCTTTACGTGTGGGCTGCAGAAGTCCGCCTCCAGGTCAACGCATCCAAGTCGGTATTCATGAGCCTGGGGAAGGATGGTGACGGCCGAAATTACACTCTCAACGGCCAACTGCTACATCCCACACCTTCTGTGAAGGACCTGGGAGTACTCTCACGTTGCAACTTGAAGTCCACTGACAACACGAACAGGCTATTTCGTAACGGACTGCGCATGCCCTAAGCACTCAAACGTAGTTTCTGTATCTGGTCTGAAGAGGTTGACACTCGCTTCTTCTCATCCATCATCAGACCAATACTAGAGTACGGCTCGCCCGCCTATTGCCCGACCACTCAGGAGGAGGCGCAGAAGATTGAACGGGTTCAACACGTCGCTATTAGGCTCATCCCCAGTTTGCGAGGCTTACCGTACGAAGACAAGTGCGAGAGACGGGGACTGTTCACCCTGACATACGGTCGGTTACGTGTCGACCTCATCATGACCTACCGGATTCTAGATGTAGGCGACTTCCTCATGCTAAGGCTACTGCTCCACTTGCGAACGCCTTACAGCACACGCGGATACCAATACAAGCTTGTGGTTCCAGATATTAGGCGAGTTTCCCATCCCTGTGCTTGGAACGGCGAGTGGTAAATGTCTGGAACGGTTTGCCGAAACATATAGTGGAAGCGAATTCAGTGCCGTTATTCAAACGATCATTGGATGTGAATTTCAAATATTATATTCCGTGAACGATTACCCAGAGGCAACTGGCATTTTTGAGACCTAATCTACTGTGAGTTAAACGATTTTAAACGATATAACGTGAGAACGTGAAATACGATCAGCGTATTGAGAAGTCATAGTTTGTTTTTTAACGTTTTTGATCATATTTCGATGGAGTTGTACAGATTCAAATTTCTACTTTTCCCACAATGCAGTATTCAGTATCACATGTTCCATAATAGCATGGGCTATAGAGCTCGCTCGCTCGCTGATCCAAGATTTTCGTTGCTTAAACCAAGTGCCATCAACAATATGTACCGGTTGATGGGAACGGTCCCATCACGTCTATTGACCATAGCTCGCCAAGTTCATATATCGGTGCTGGTTGTTGTGGCCCGCAACTACTTGTTTCAAGAGCTGACGTTACTTACACGTAAGCACCCGCGTCTCGACGTCTTTATGCCTGACCAGTAGGCGCGCTGTTTCATCAACTCGTAGGTCCTGGCACAACTGGTGTGCACCATTTCGTGACAAGAGAGAAACAGCTTTCGCCTTAATTGCAACGGGATCACGGGCGCCGGGGTCTTTCTACTTGCTGGCAACCATAAAAAATTTGTAGTATTTACTTGCAACTTTTCCAAATTTGTCGCAAAAGATCTAAGCTGCTTGTGTCGGGTCGTGTTTAGGCCCTGATGACAGGTTACTTGTGTAGTGATCATAGCGCAAGACCCTGCCACTAAGTTGTTCGGCCGAAACTGTCCCGAACCTTGCTCTAGTACACCAATGATACAGAAAGCCATGCTCGACAGGTCATCACTCTTTTTATCATGGTTGATACAAAATCTGCAGTTTGATTATGCTTCCTGGTGCGTGGCTAATCGTGAAATCATATTATTGAAGGCCCAACGACCATCGCGCCCGTCTTTGGTGGACTTAGTCCATTGTAAAGGCTTGTGGTCCGTTTCAAAGTGAAACCGCTCATCTATCAGGTATTGTCGCCACTTATCCAACGCCCAAAAGACTGCGAGATATTCGTTCTCTACGGCTGATTATTGACGCTTCGCAGGTGTCAAAATTCTGCTAACCAACTCTATCATCTCGTGGCTTTGATGAAAAATTACTCCGACTCAGACATCGCTAGCATCAATGGCTCTGACATAGGTTAATTTCAGGGTCAGTGCCTGTTTCCCTGTTTGTTAAATGCGAGCAAAATCACTCTAAGCTCCAGTAATTCGAGTAAATTTATTATTCTGTTTCAGCAACTAGTACAAAGGTTAGGCCAAGTTGTTGAATTCCCAGATGGATTTACCGTAGCACCCTGTGCGGCCCAAGAACACCATGAGGGTATGCTTCGAGGTTGGGACTGACAATATATTCAGTTCACCTTGAACTATCTTATGGCCCAGCTCGGGGTTTTGGCACGAGTCCCGACTGTCGAACCCGTCCTAAGATTGATTCAAGATCACTACTTTGTTCCGCCTTTGATTGGCTATACCCAATGATATCATCTTCGCATACTGCCACGTTCCTAAGCTATCCAGTAGACGCAGCATCAGACGTCGGAAGATGAGCCGGACTCACGATAAGCAAAAAGGAATATTCTTAATTGGTATTGCTTCGCACAGAACGTAAAAGCCGCTTGTCCAAGTCTTCTCGTTTGATTGCCAATTTCTAATGTTCAGCACCGTGAATCTTTTCGATAGCTGTAATATAACGAAAATATTTGTAACTAGTGGAACTGGGAAGAAACTAGTCACGGAGAATTAAACCAATCCTCGGAAGCCCACACAGAAACGGTAACTTCTAGCTGGTCTTTGTCACCAATACAAATGTAAAATTTTAAGGGCTATGCGCCTCTTTGTTGAGTTCCGCATCGGGCATCTCCTGTACTTGCTTCCTCATCTCCGTCACTAAGTGCATTGGTATCCTTCAACACATTTGTAAGCGATACGTTTGTCGAACTATTGGAAGAGTCTGATCGATCCACTCACAAAATCTACACGGGCTGCAGTAATGGGTAAACAGGCGATGGCACATTGTGATGAATACCTGCAAGGTCGGGCTCACGTGTAACACAACAACCGAGTGCACGGGGACACAGGTTTTCCACGAAGAATGAGTAGTAGACACTCGTATTCAGTTAGTAGATTTCTTCGATTTAAGTCAACAATAGGAAAACTGTTCACAAAATGGTCCGCTTCGCGTCTAACGACACGACGAAGACGTGTTTTAGTTTCCGCCCCCATGTATTTTGCCATGTCATTTATGCACACTGCGTAACGATAAACAGCCCTCACGACCACGCAGCACAAAAGAGCAGCACCCGTATCAATTAAATGATATACCTTACCAGATCACGACGCCAGCGAAAGAAGCAAACGTGGACATGAAGTTATTTATTGTGGTAAATAATGTCAACAAGCATACGCATCAGCTCAAACCACCAACCGTTCCACTAATATACGAACTCTCCAATAGAGGTTGCGTGGCGCGCGCTGCTTCTGTATCCATTAAGAATGCACAGACAACTGCATGAACTAAGCGTTCTTCTTCAGTTGGAACGTCGGTATGGTTCGTTGTTAGCCCATTACCGTCTGGTACTCTTAGTAAACCTATCTTAATGACTCTTGGCGCCGTAAATAAAAATAAATAAAATAAAAACATAGATTCTCGATGTTACACGAGATCCGCCAAAGAAGGCATGATCAGTTTTGTACAAGCAGACATGCGACAATTGCTGTCGGACCAAATATTAATCTTGACAACGAAAGTGAGTAGACTCATGTGATAAAAGATATGGTATGTGGCTGTGATAAATGTTTCCAGGTCAAAATAACAAATTGTTTTGCGAATGCGGTGTCGGGAGGCACGAATAATAATGTAGATATATATCGCGAGTAAATGTTGAATCAGTGACACAAATTGGATGCACGGTAAGTTGGGATGGTTCGACCTCCAACCGACTGCTTGCACCGCTATCCGCAGTCACCCGGATTCCATTTTCGCCCGCTTGTCACATTCGGTAGTCAATCGCAATCCGACAATTGTCAAACGCTTAGTGATCAGTTCACACTAGTAATACGTTTTCTTGTTAACAAACTGTATTGTTGTCTGCAGCTCAGTTTCAAGTACTATGATGCAGCGACTACGGTTAGCTGGTTCTACGTTTCGGTCCTCAAATAATACTTGATGAGGCAAAATATTATGTTGTGGTAGACCAAGAAAAATCGAACCAGCAACGCATTGCAACCTTCGCTTTTCACCCACTAAGAATAGTGGATTAAAATAGACAGGAATTTGTACTGGATCTGCCTGAGGCACTGAAGATTCCACATCCGTTTGTAGTGAAACGCCATACGAATAAATCAACATCTCAATAACTAGGTACTCCAATGTGTAGTTTAAAGTAATTCACTGTCCCAGGCCTCGGCATAAAGAACAAGAAAATACAGAACCCACTCACCGTTGCACTCCGACAATGAAGAGATCCAAATTATCTGAGTCACCGTAAAGTCTTCCTGGATGCTGCGCAAGCATATTCGCCATGGAACATGTAGATGATAAGGTTGATGTTACTTCTCCGACACTCCGTGATGGCTGAATTTTAAGGACAGTACCAGTTAAAAGATGCGTAAAAGCTGTGGCGGAACAGCTGAAGATGACAAAACAAAATGACATGAATAGTTTTCAGAAAGCATACAATGGTAACAACTAAGCTTTGAGGGCATCTACACACCATCGGTGTTCCAAGCATAGTGTTTGACTACCTAAGCACAGCCGGTTATAAGGGAACAGAAGTGAATTATGAAGCACGCAGTTTAGAAGAGATGTCGGATTCTGTGAGAACCCGCTTTGGACCATGTTATGGTTCGTTAACGATCGACGAATCAATATAAAACAAGAATAAATTCGCCAGTCTACAAACAAAAGAATGTACCGACGTTCAAGCCTAAAAGCTCAGAAAGAAGTCGGACGACATCAGTCTACGAATAGACAAAGAGCCATTAAAAATCATGGAAATCAAAGGATAGTACAGTTGTCATAAAAAGAAAATCGAACACAATACAGAGCAATCCATGGTTTCGTCAAAGAGCATGATACTAGCAGGTAGCCCAATCTGAAGTAGGGAGTTGGCTTAGGAGACAGCACAGTAGTGCATGGCTCAGCAACCTACCTACTCGGCAGAGACTGCAGATAGTATTCGCCGGACGGCTTTACTCGCTCTGTTTGACAGGATAGTTTGCATCGTTCATTACATTGTACAAAGCAGATTTTTCGAGTTTATTATTGTCAAATTCAGTTTCCTTTGCGATTCTGAATTTGTTTATCATATGTTATCATGTCTTGTCCGTACAGTTTACTCTGGTATTTGTATCGCGTGCTTATCGTTCAATTTATCACCTTTACCGTCACATCTACTAAGGTATCCGTAATGACGAAGCTGACTCCCAGTGGCACTTGTCGTAAATTAGTTGGGCATAGAGTTAATGCTGTCACATGGCTTATGTGTCATGTGAATTTCCACATTTCCTGTATTGGTGCGTCTTTGGATCACTTTAAATTACTGCGTGAAATTAAGCATGACTTTGTCCAAATATTGTGCAAGAAATTTTAAGCCACTGTGCAATCACGAACAGCCGAGAAGCCGCGCGAGCCTACAAGACTAACGAAACGATCCAAAGAGAGGAGCTCCGTGGATTCATCCAAGCAAGCGGAAACCCAGCCACCACTATGTTCGTAGGAGCTCACCTACCCACCGGCTACAGGCTCTCCAGAGTGATGTCCACCCATTGCTGGAGACACCTGGCGTGCCTGTATTGCGCTCTAGGGACATTAGCATACCGGTGTGCAATAGCGCAGACGATGAAGGACAATGGAGAATACAGCGAAGCAAAAACGAGAGGAAAATTGTCAGTACTCAGCGAATGAGTCGACGGATGTTAGTCCTCAGGCTCGTTATGGCCACGAAGTGGATTTTCTGCAGAGCCTGGTTGATAGGCTTGTCGACGTGAATGAAAACAGGGGCTGCGGGTAAAGCAAATCATCCGTCTAAGAGAGAGGAGAGGAAGTCCCGGACTCTGCGAGTCACCTCTGTTGATGCAACGAGCCCGACGCTGATACTATCCCGCCTCGGTAGGCCAAGAGGTTTAAAGATCCCTATTCGTCCCGAGTTGGATCCGTCAGGCGGAGATAAACTAAAGTCCGCTATCAGGGAGTTGAAGCGACAGACTGATAGTGGAGAAACCCATCTCCACACTGTACATTTTCGGGTAGTTACCCGGGTTCGCTGAACCCGGATCAAAAGATAGATGACGCTTCATGCGTATCCGTCCGTTCCTACCACGGCCTGCAAGTAGCCTTCACAAACGTCAGTAGTTTAACGAACAAACATGACGATGTATTTCATTTCGTTGCCTCTCGTCGTCCGGACGTACTAGGACTGGCCGAAACATGGTTAAGTCTTGAGGTCACTACCCAGGAAGTCCAGATCAGTGGCTACTCGTGCTTCCGGTGCGACAGACTATCAAACGATCGAGGCGGCGTGCTGTAATACATTCGGTCCTCGCTGTGCAGACTGGTACACATCTACCGCAGCGACGATTACCTGTGTGAATAGTTATGGTGCTCGATCCGCATGAGATAGGGTGAACTGTTTGTAAGTGCGGCTTATCGCAGCCCACGAAGTCGATGGCTGGAATGGTTGCCACATGTTAGAAGCTACATGATTTTAACTTCCATCGAATATGGTGGCCTGAAGTCCAACTTCTCCCCGAGCACTGTGAAATCGAGGCGCAGTTTGCGGAGATGGTATTTGAAACTGCCGCAGCACAACATTTCTGCCAACCGACGCGCGTTACGCTGCATTCCGCTCCATCGTGCCTGGACCTAACACTAATGAGTTGCGAGCAAAGTATACATAAAATACAGATCCTGCAGCCTCTGAGAGCTAGTGACCAGTCGATGGTGTTAGCCAGCCCAAAGCTGCCGTTGCCCTATTCGCGTCCGCCGGAGCCGTCCTGCAATTATTGGAAGACCACCTTCCATGGTCTCAATCCAGCCGCCAGTGAAGCAGACTGGTTGCTGCCGCAGGATTCATTTGCTGAAGCGGGTTGGTCTGTTATAAAAGAGAGCGGGCAACCGTCGTGCGCACGTTACGTATCCCTCAAGTATCGGAAAGCTGAACCAGTGAAACCACACTGGTTCAACAGAGAAAATGGTCAATTGGCTCAACGGCGACGCGCATTGTAGAATAAATTCCTCGTGTCTAGCTCTGTCAACGATTAGGAGGCGTACAAAAGACAGCAGGACCTATGCAACAGAAAATAGCATCGGCAGTTCGAAGAGAAGCTCGCAGCCTCAGCAAAGACGGCTCCTAAGAAGATTTTTGGTTACGAGAAGCGGCGCCTGAGGCCCGCAAGTGACGTAGCTGTGTGAGAGGGCACTGACCTCCAGCACTGAATCTGCGTCCGCATTGGTGGAGCACTTCGTTTCCGTATTTACAGGTGGGCATGTGCCTATACCGAGCTCGATGTGTGCAGCCTCTACTGAACTTGAGGGCCTAGATTACGGTGTAAAAGATGTCTGCAGTCGACTTGCCAATCTTGACGACGCGAAAGCTGCCGGACCCATGGGACTTCAATCGCTAATTTTAAGGACCTTATCGGCCACTATCTCGCCCGCCGTGACGGATCTGTTCAACAGATCGCTGCCCGAGGGTGCATTTCCGAGGGACCGGAAATGCTAGGCAGTGAAGCCGATTCCAAAAGGCGGTGACCCACGCAATGTAGACAATTACCAGCCGGTTTGTCTCGCATCTGTTTTGGCGAATTTGCTCGAGAAGACTGAAAAAGGATCTTCTCCAGCTGCTGAAGTCGAAAGATCTCCTAACACCGGCGCAGCACAGCATCATGAAGCACCGCCCGTGCATCACCAACCTGCTGCTGATGCGGCAGGAATGGTTGCAAGCGTCGAATCGGAGGAAGTCGGTGGATGTTATCCACACTGATTTAGTAAAGCTTTTTATAAAGTGAACCATTAGGTCTTGCTACACAAGCTGAGGATGTGTGGTGTTGGTGGTGCACTACACCAGTGGATCAGTGGATTCCTTCTTGGGAGAAGATAGCGGGTTCAGGTGCATAACCACCTAACGGAATGGTACCTGTCCACTAGTGGCGTACCTCAAGGCACATTACTGGAGCCTATTTCATTCCTGATCCACATCAACGAAATACTTCAGCTTCTTCGGTCGCCCTGCGCATTATTTGCAGACGAGCTGAAGATATGGAGGATTATTGATTATCTCGGCGACTGCGACGTCCTTCAGCAGGACCACGATCGCCTATCCCAGTGGTCCGCAGAAGTTGACCTACCAGTTAACCGGGCCAAGTCCTCGTTTATGAGCCTGGGGATGGGTGGTAATGGGCGTGCGTACACCTTAGCTGACCAACCGCTGCATCCGACAAGTTCCCTAAAGGATCTAAGCGTACTCTCACGCTGTGATCTGAAGTCTGTCGACAACACGAACAGAGTATACGCAAACAGAATACCTCTGTTTTGGGCACTTTAACGAAGCTTCCGCACTTGGTCTGAAGAGATTGCCACCCGTCTATTCTCTTCCATAATAAGACCGATGCTTGAGTACGGCACCCCCGCCAACTGTACGATCATAATAGGTGAGGTGCAGAGACTGGAATGGGTCCAACATGTAGCTACCCGGCTCATTCCCAGTTTACGGGGTATGTCGCACGAGGATCGATGTAGACTAGGGCTTTATACCCAGTCATGTCGTCGGCTTCGAGTTAATCGCACTATGACGCACCGGATACTGCACCTGGGCCACTTCCCTATGTTGAAGCCGCAGTTGCACCTATGTGCACCAAGCAGCAGACGCGGACACCGGTATAAACTGGTGCTACTGGATTTAAAGCGGATCGCTCACACCCTATGATTCGAGCGTCGAGTGGTGAAATATTAGAACAAATTGAAGACGCTAGTCGAGGCGAAACCGGTGTCGGAAGTTAAGAGATTCCCCGATGTTCACTTTACGGACTACATGTATGGGGAGCCTGTCGCACCCGGATAAGATGTAGTGCAACTGCAATATGCTGCCACCGCGCAGGAATCAGCGGCGTGATTAAGCGCATGTGCCCGATTTACCTACGATGGATCAACAGACATTGTTATCGTCTCGCTCCCTACTCTCAGTATTCATTATTCAGTATACCCCACATTCATGCATTCATTCATTCATTGTACATGTTAGCTGCAGGTGGAAAACACTTCAGCTATTGTGCCGCAAAAGTAAAGACAAGAAAAAAATACAACAGTGGCACACCAGCTGAGTCCCCAGTAACGGATGGACATCATTCCGGAAAGCTAGCAGCTGGCTATCGCGCCGTAAAAAGAGTTATATTATGCCTAGCGAATGAGATCGGGATTGAAGGGGGAGGCTAAGCGGGACGGGGTGGACAAAAGAACTCACAACACAAACGCCATTGCGGCCGGCTCTTAGCCATATCTGCAAGTGGGTCCAACCAAACGTGTTCATCGTCTTTAGGACCCCAGTCAGGCGGTCGAGATGCACTAACCGACGCGAACTTCGAAGTAAAGGTTTTCATTTATCTCGATCAAGTCATCACTTGACCTCCTCTACTCCTTTTCCACCTGCACCTCCAGCGCGCAAACAATGCACATCGCGGGAGTCGGTGTGTTCGCATGCACAAAATGTGGCCCAGCCATTAGCGCCTGGTGCGTGATATAATGGTGCTAAGCGGTTCAGTCGCTCTTCCTGCACCAAATACGCGACGCCGAACACGCTCATTGCTCACGCGGTGCTCCCACCAGACATGAGCTAAGCTACGAAGGCAGCGATGATCAAATGTGACGGGCCGCTTTATGTATGTCGACCTGATGGGCCAGGTTTCACAACCGTACAGGAGGGTTGAACGGACGGTTGCGTTATAAACTCTGCCCTTCGGAGCAAGAGTAATGTCGCGTCTGTGCCACAGGTGGCGAAGATTGGCAAAAGCACCTCGAGCTTTTGCTATACGGTTCGTGATCTCATCTTCGATCCCACGGGCGCTACTATAGCTGCCCAGGTACTTGAATTCCTGAACGGCTTCTAGCTGATCACCCCTGGTGGCAGCGGGACGAATTCAGGGAGTCGTGACCGCTGGGAATCGGTGATTAATTGCTCAGTTCATACCCCTTGCACTTGGTTGTTTGCCAAACAAGGACGCAATCCTCCACACAATTTCAGCTCCGTGTTGCTGGAATTCAATGCGCCGCCAGAGTGAGTTTATTTACTGGTGAGTCACATCCGCCACCTCACATTGTGGATTTATACAGGATGACAGGAGACAGGGACGATCTCTTACGAACAGGCAAAGGGTGTGACAGGGTTCAAATTTTCATGGTGGTTGATGTAGTTTATTAACACATTAGAAAATATCGACATGGTAAAAGCCATTCGCCAAGTCTTGGTATTTAATATAAATATTGATGAAGCAAAATGATCGAGGAATTCCAGGCATTTTCATTTGAGATATATCGATGAAAGTCGCCCCAACCGAATCACTAGGATTAAGTTGATCACATCAAATCTCAGGAGGTTTTGGGAATCCAACGCAAATAGTGATACACAAGTGAGCGCGACCGGCCACAGGTGAGCCAGTGCGTTCCATACTGGCAGATAAGTGTCTGTTTTGGCGAGAGTGGTTGCGAACCAGTTAGCGAGTTTCGGTCTCAGATACAGTCCGCTGTTAAAGTGCTGCTTGCCAATGAACATTTTGATCGCAAAATTGGAGAGCGGTGGATCATCCAATTTTCCAGAACTGCTTGATCAACAGCAATGACCTTGAAGATATTTAGAGGTGATACCCAGTGTGGCTAAACGAGGCATTGAATTTTGTGGACCATTCTAAACTGCTGAGATCCGGGTTCAACCAGATTGTCCTATCAACTGAAGAACCGCTAGAATTGAAACATACACAACAGAAGAAGTTCAGAAGTCAGAATCACTTTCCCTGAATGATATGTTTGCGGTGCGTGCTAGACAGTAGTGCACATGATCTGAGCCACGACAGTAACTTTGTTCGCCATCCTCAAGTCAGTGAATGTCATCAGACCCGTGATGGTCAAAGCAGACCAAGCTTCGGAGATTTCACACACATTGTCTAGTGCTAAACTTTATGCTATGGTGGGCAGCTTTTTCGAAATAAGTAACGCGCGGAGTATTGGTACAGCTGTAATGGGGCTTATGTAAGTTAAAATGTAGGATTCCAGCTTACTGAGAAAACCAAGGGGTGTGTCATCCAAAACCAGGCGCTGCCTATCAGTCAGAAGTTTGCAAGATAGAACGAGTACGTCGATACTTCGGGATGGATGGAGTCGAAGATACAGAAAGTAACTACCACCAGATACAATGCATCCGTCAGTTTCGAAATACACACAGAACAGCACAGAATATTGGGTTAATGGCGCACCAAATTACCTCCACGTTGTGCCAACTAGATGGTTCGGGAGAATTACGATACCATGAACTGCTCGAGAGCAGTGCTCCAAAATCTAGTGGGGTTTCATCAGTAACAAGCCATGTTTGTTAAACCATACGAGGGCCTGACAGGTGTGACTCACCACTAAGTAAAGCCATTGCTTCATGCCCCAATTTATTGGAGCATTGCACTCCCGCAGTTGAGGGCTGATATTTTTGGGAGGAGTTGGTCTTGTTTGCTACTCAACCAAGCCAGGGGCGTATGGACCGAGATATCAGATACCAGATCTAAAAGGGCGCGGTACTCTGACTTAGTGTCATTACCGGACGAATAGACCATCCAACCAACGTTTGCAGTGGTGTCCCCTAAGTCACATACTGCTTAAGCAACCGGGTACTATCACATCATTTGAAGAAAGCCTGCACTGTTCCACTGTGCTCAACTACACTTGCTTACTCTACCCGTGCACGTTCATCGCACACCAACTGTTCACATGTCAGTAACTCCTATGGTCTGCTTCTTATATCCACATCCCACACCATGAATTATGATATCGATTTTGATGGTGCACAGAGACCACGACTAGTTGGCTTCAGACTCAAAGGTTACACATCCGGTCTCGCGATTTTGCCCGCTTGCAGTCACTTCAAGCATCCGATTCATGTCATCGACCATTCAATATCCGTATTTGGCTCAAAAACTATGCGTGCGGTAGAAAGCTAGAGTCTATCCTACCAAAAGCTAATGAGAAGGGCCTTCGTTAACCGACTCTGGGATGGAAGAAGGCTTGATTGGGGCAAGCCATAACATGGCAACAGAAGTTTAGTCCTCCAAATCTTAGATAACATGGTGCTGGTTCGATTCGCCTTTCAGGCTGCACACGGTGAATCGCTCCGAAAGGTATCAAGGAAGTTAAAGGGTAGCACACAGCCAACGCCAGTTTTTTGGGTTATTGGTTATCATGATTAGTATAAAAAAGCTGATGTTGATGATGAGAGAATTAAGCGTTTGACCAAGTTTTGATTCACAATTGTGGTGGAAGCAAATAGTTCTCAGATAATGAGCAAAGCTAATATGTAACGCAGTGGTATCTAAAATCGTGGTGGAGTAAGATGGTGAACTAACTGTACTGAACGTTGGCCATTTCATCAAAACAGCTACACCTGCGGAGGTAATGACGGTGTTCAAAGTAATAGAAACGCTGATAACAGATGATGCATGGAGGGTAAGATAGTGGAATGATACAAGTAGAGTAGCGAAATAGGAAACGTAGATTACATCGTGGGTTCAAGCCAAAAATGCGAACTGGGTGCACAAAATTAGACTGACATTGGAGATTACAGTGGTGAGAACTGGTGGATACATGACTGAAGTGAACTGACTTCACATACAACCAAACGCCGTAAACAAGCTGGAAGTGTCGGAGAAGACAGCGGTTCAGTAACGGAGTAGCAATGGAGGTATAACACCACAATGCACAGAACAAATTAACCGGAAACGAACACCGCCTGCCGTCAGTACCCACACGAAACTATCCAACAGTAAAACACTTACAGAACACCATGAGGATCAGCATGATTAGGACGACTTACGTTGTGTCGGGGGAGTGAAGTGGAGGATAACGATCGAAGTGGCCGTCTGACATCGAGATCGTCGGAAAAACTTAAATTTAACTCGCTTGAATGTGTAGGAGCTTCATGTGGACGGCTTCTGGTGATATAATCACTTACGGTGGAGGAGGACATTGGAACAGAGACCGTAAGGATATTATCGGGAACAAATCGGGTGCGCCAAATTCCGAAAGAATTTGTTCTGGATAGGTACTTGATAAACAGACTGTTGAAATCATCAGCTTGCATACCTGAATGTGTGTGCAAATGGGAAATTAGAGAAAGTGAGAGAAGTGAAAGCGACGACTCGATGTCAACCGATATGCAAGCGACCTGCTGTGGGATATACGCGAGACAAAATAGGCAACTAGCAATTAGGTCTACAAAGTAGCAACTGTATGACCAGCCAAATAATACAAGTCGACCGAGACTTTGGCCATGAAAGATGACGATAAATACGAGCAGTATAGGCTACAGAGATAAACTTGAAGGAAAACTGTATAAGTGAATGTGAAGCTAAATAGCAAGCTGAGGTAGATGACGTCACTGCAAAGTGACAAAGGATGAGGCAAAAATACAACGAACGTTGCAATGAGAAACAACAATAAATTATGTCACTTCGGAGTGACAATCTGAGCTTCCAATGCCAGATTAGCAGCTTAAGATTTAACAAACTAAACTTGACTATCATTTTAACAAGAGGTTGGACAACGGCCGTAAACTTCGTCACCTCGGACTCAAAAGTGGATGATAAAAAGATATGAAGTGCCAATTGCATATGATCGATGAAGAGTAGTGCCTAGAGTTCTCACTGCGATGGGAGAACAACATTTCTGCTTACTAGTATACATCCATTGCTTTATCTAAGTTCAAAAAATGGAAGGATGGATTTATGAAGAAAAACAGTAAACGCTTAACAATTTTCTGCAGACAAGAAGTGAGAAAACAAAGAAGGCGTAGCGATGGACTCATCGCAAATGGCACGTGTACACATAGTTTGATTACATTGTCCTGTGTCCCAGTAACTTGCGTCAAATGATGTAATGCAGGTGGTGTACCGCACCACCATCAAGTCAAGTTTTAGATTCATGCAATGTAGGAGCGGAGATGACAGGACGCGGAAGTAAGCTGAACGGCTGGGACACACGAAATGAGAAAAAGTTCCGGCGACACTCCAACCAGCAATAATGTGTCAACAAATTTAAATGGTGGCCTCACAGTTACTGGTTGGAAGCAGCAAGAAGAGGTATCTCTGTGTAGCTGCAACTAATGTCACTCAGGGACAAAGACCCGTTATGGTGGAGTGCGCTCGATATATTTTATATCGGCAAAGTGTTTGTTCAGGAATTGCTTAGATTTCGACACCAAATTTGTCTCGACTACGTGCTGCGGCAAGTTGTTCCATACCTCATCAATTTCCGTTCGAAATAGAGTTGGTGAGCGACCCGCTTCAAATCCGGTACGACAAGCTTGTACAGGTGTCATCGTGTGCTTTCTGGTGTGCGCGGATGAAGCAGTGGCCTCAACATGGGGTAATCTCCCAGATGTAACATCCGGTGAGTCATGATGACGTCAACTCTCAGTCGACGAGAAGCTAGGGTGTACAGCCCCAGTTTCTTACATCGGTCTTCGTACGTTGGGAATCAGCCTGGTGGCTACATGCTGCACTCGCTCAATCTTTTCTACCTCGCACCGGGTGATAGGACAATACGCAGGAGAGCCATACTCTACCATTGGTCTTATTATTGAGACGAGTGGCAATCTCTTCGGACCAAGTGCTGAAGCTGCGCCTGAGCGCCCAAAGCATACGAAGGTTATTTTGGTAAAGCCTATTGGTGTTGTCCATGGACTTTAGGTCGTAGCGTGAGAGTAAACCGAGGTCACGCACGAAAGGCGCGGGATGCAACGGTTGACCGACCACCGTGTAGGTTTGACTGTGCTCACACTTACCCAGCCTCATGAATTGCGACTTGACCGGGTTGATCGGAAGGTTGACCTCTGCAGGCCACGTGGAGAGGCGGTCGAGGTTCTGCTGAAGCTGGTCATAGTCATTGGATGCGCCGATTACTCTCCACACCTTTTAGTCATCTGCGAACACCGTACAAGGTGAATGAAGTAGCTGAGACACATCGTTTACATGGATCAGAAACAAAATCGACCCCAGTACAGTGCCTTGGGGTACACTACTGCTCGATGGATACCAGTCGGTCAAATGATTGTCGACCTGGACGCTCCACTTTCGATCAACAAGAAAATTCCTGATCTATCGGTGTAGCGAGCCGCCAATAAATGTCGGTATGTGTGGTTGGGATCTCTGAGGATCTGATACACAAATATGAGATCACCTTGTAGAAGACGACATCGTTCACTAAAAACTCCTAGAGTCCTTAGTCTCAACTGGGAAGGCGTGGAGCAATCCCTCAACACTTTTGTTGCCCTCCGTTGTAGATTCGCAAGAGCTGTAGGGGTATAGTTTTGACAAGGGTGCCACACCCGAAAAGGCGTATTCAACGTGTGGTCTCATGTAAGCGTCGAACATTTGTAGGATCAAATTAGCCGAACGCCTTACGCAAAAGGCTCAAGTGTTGGTTGTTTTTTTCTCTGACATCTCAGCCTGGGGAGTTTCGGAGCTGTTTTATTCCAAGTGAACACTCGATGGTCATGGCGATCTTAGAGCTGCCAATGCCGTTTACTCCTCCACTGGAGCCAGCCTTCAACTACTGGAAGGCAGACTTCAATGGCCTCATTCGAGCCGTCAGCATAATGGACTGGCCGCTAGCATAGGATTCGTCAGTTGAAGCATGTTGGTCTAACATAAGATGGAGTAAAATCATTGTGCGCCCAATTTGTGCCCCCCAAATATAAGAAAGCTGGACAAGTCGAGCCACACTGGTTTGACAAGGAGTATGGCAAACTGGCTCGATGGCGAAGCCGGATTTGGAATAAGTTCGTGCAATCTGGCTCTGCGGAAGTTTACGACGCGAACAAGAGGCAAAGAAATGCCTGCAACAGTGCGAAAACGAGCAAATGCCGATGCTTCGAAGAGCAGCTAGCAACCACAGTAAAAAACAGCTTCCAAGAGGATGTTCGCATACATGAAGCGACGCCTGAAGCCGAAAGGTGATGTTGGACGGCTCGGGCGGAGAGCCCCTAGTTTCCAGTACTGAGCGTACTTCGCATTGGCGGCGCACTTCGCTTTCGTTTTTGCAAATAACCAGGAATCCGTACCGAGTTTGACGCATATTTCCCCTACCGAGCTGGACAGCCTGGATTGCAGCGTTGAGGATGTGCGCAAGTTGATCGCCAGTCTTGACGGTATCAAGCCTGCGGGGCCTGATGGGCACCATTTACTGATCCTCAAATCGCTATCGGTTATCAACTCGCCTTCGGTGACTGAGCTATTCAACAGGTCGCTGTCCTCCGATTCATTGCCGAACAACTGGAAATGCTCAGCAGTGAAACCGATTCCGAAAGGCGGCGATCCGAGCAAGGTGGACAACTACCGGCCGACATGCCTAAACTCGGTTTTGGCTAACACATGCGAGAAGATCGTGAAGCGTGGTCTTCTGCAGCATCTCAAGTCGAAAAGCAGCTTGACGCCCGCGCAGCACGGTTTCATGAAAGGTCGATCATGCACCACAAACCTGCTGCTCTCGAGGAATGAATGGTTGCAAGCGCTAAATCAAAGGAAGTCGGTTGGCGTCATATATACTGACTTCAGTAAAGCGTTTGAAAAGGTGAACGATGAGATCCTCCTACGGAAGCTGAAGATGGGCGGTGTTGGTGACTCACAGCACCAGTGAATCAGTGACTTCCTTATTGGTCGGACGTGAAGGGTGCAGGTGGACAACCACCTGACCGAGTGGTATCCCTCGACCAGTGGCGTCCAGCGGGGCCCAGTCCTTGGGCCCATTTTGTTCCTGATTCACATCAACGATTTGCCTCTGCTTCTCAGTTCACCTTGCGCGTTGTTTGCAGATCACCTTAAGGTATGGAGGGTAATTGAGGCGCCCGAGGACTGCGACTTACTTCAGCATGAGCTTGACCGCCTCTCAATATGGTCAGCAAAGGTTAAGTTTCCGAGCAAACCAGTCAAGTCGGTATTCATGAGCCTGAGCAAGGGTGGTAATGGCCGAGTCTACAATCTGGCCGGCCAACAGTTACACCCACCGCCATCCGTGAAAGATATCGGCGTGCTCTCACGCAGCGATTTGAAATCCGTTGAAAACACGAACAGGTTTTACCAAAACGGAATGCGCATGCTCTGGGTGCTCAAACGCAGCTTCTGCATTTGGTCCGTAGAGGGTGCCACCCGCCTCTTCTCATCTATTATCAGACCAATGCTAGAGTACAGCTCACCCGCCTACTGTTCGCTCAAACGGGGCGAGATACAAAGGATTGAGTGGGTACAGCATGTGGCCACAAGGCTCATTCCCGGTTTACGAGGTGTGCCATATGAAGACCGGTGCAAGAGACTAGGGCTGTATACCCTGTCTTATAGGTGAATATGGGTTGACCTCATCATGATGCACCGAATAATACATCTGGGTCATTACCTCATGTTGAGACCGCTGCTTCATCTGCGCACACCAAGCAGCACACGAAGACACCGGTACAAGCTTATCGCACCGGATTTGAAGCGGGTCGCTCACCAACTCTGCTTCGAGTGGAGTGTTGAATGCTTGGAACAAGCTGCCTGCAGATATAGTCGAAGCAAAGTCGGTGTCGGACTCGCACTTTGCCGACTCGAGATTTTGAGAGTAAGCATCATCATAATAGGTAGATTTAGTTAAGTGGTATTAGATGTAGCTACACAGAGGTAACTCTACTAGCTGCATATTATCAGTACTCAGTAGACTGCAGGGTCGTGAGAAAACAGATCCGAAACTCTCCATTTCGGATGGGGTCACAGTGTTCGAAATGGTATAGCTTTCCTTCAAAGCAAACTGCAGCCCCAATCTAGATTGCGTGTTGCAATCCAGACACACTGTGAGCACTCCAAGACCCAATAATGGCTTTCTCGATCTGTTGGGAGTGTCTGAGATCGTCCTACATGAATACCCCAAGATCGCTTTTATGAGAAGCGCGCTGCAGGACGTGTTCTCCCAGTCGATATTCGTCGGTGCTCTGGTTGTGTAAGCTCAATATTTCGTACTTGACAGGGTTACACTGAAGCAGGTTTCGCGCCGACCAATCGTAAGACCTGTCAACATCACCTTTCAGTGCAATGTGGTCCTGCACTCTCCTGATTGCCCGCCAAAACTTAGGGCCTGATTCACCTGAACATCGCGCTAGTTATGTGTGACATGAGACCGATGCTTATTGGTAAGATAATGGTGATTTCTTCCGTCGGTTATACACGGACAACAACCAATAATCGAGCTATTGAGTACACGTATCAGCATCGGAGTATATGGCGCCAATTGGCAGATGCCCCAAACTGACCAGATTGGCATCAACAACAGATGATCCCCATCACTTCTCAACGCTGGTCGATACACAAATCATCTCCACGCCTTCGTACGCATCTGCAGATTTCTTGCTATTCCGGCAACGGCGAAATGCTCAATTACAAATGCGCTTGCCCGTCAACTCAAAATGGTGACAATATCAATCTGCACTTTAACATCAGTCGTCGATGAGGAAGCGATTGGAGGTAAAAAAAGCCAATTGAAATCACCTATAATATGCTACGACACATGCGTCAGAAATCGTTTCTATCTATCCACGTTGGTGTGTAGAAAAAGTGGATGGGCTTCAGTAACCTACATTGGTTTAATAGAAGCACAGAAAACGATCCCGTTGGACAGTTAGGTTCATTGTGAAACATGTGAGTAGGAACAGTAGTACTGTCCGGAAGCGTTTGGTTAATGTTCAAGATCCGCTCTACGTGTAGAATATCAATGCTATTTAGAACACCTGAGTATCTTGCTGACACATCAGATGAACGTGCCAAAGAAGCTTCCATCGATTGGGACCAAAATGACATGTCGGTCTGAGTAACGGGTTGTACGTTTCGAAGGGCAAGGCCGATTCATTTAAAGCACTCGTCACGTCAGTGGATTGCGACATGCAGTTTCAAGCTGGACAGCAATTCGCTTAAAAGTGAATTTCTGTCAGTGCGGATACAAGTATCGAAACTGAAAAGGTAGTAAATGTTGAGTGATTCAGGTGGAAACACTGCATTTTCCGCTGGGTTCATGCATGCTTTCGCTCTTCATGCAGAGAAAACAAAATTGTAAATGGAACGCAACCAGCACTTTTCAACATGAGTGTTGGAAGGCAGGTAGCGTGGGAGTAAAGGAGTTAATCAGTAGTCTGCACATGCTTGGTTCGAATCGTAGTTCTACTACCGCTGGCTGCTGGGTGCAACCATGTATGAAACTAGTGGTACTATGTTGTGTTGCGAGCGGAAAACATGTAACATGCATTATAAAGTGTTGAGGACTAAATTGTTTTGAGATGCTAAGATCACAACTCCTATCATCGATACGATTAGATACGAACTGGTGCTGTCAGAGGAACAGTGCTTAGCCCAACCGACTTCCTTCGTGGTTAAATTGAACGTTACCTTACTGGCGACTGATCGAATCTCTCTGATTGACACTATTTAGTGAAAAAAGAGAAGTGCATTTAACACTCAGAAACATGGGGGCGAGCACAAGGGTATCACCGGTTTTGTGGTGTACCAAATCATGTAAGAGAACTGACCCATATTGTGTGCGACCCTTATATCCCCATCAACCAAGACATCACATGCCAACCAACTGGCAAACGTTAATCATCATTCCCAGAAGCAATGAGCATTTGTGAAAATTAACGTCATAGTGAGCCAGGTTAAGCGCGCGAAATCACCCACCGAATTACAATTCGATGGCTCAAGGATCCGCTTACAAGTCGTACCAGTGTAATTCAGATTGGCTTCACTCCCACAGTAGGCGCATTGACCATATACTTCGTTAGGGTGGGCCGACACGCAGCCACTTCCAAAAATCATCAACCAAACGCTGGAAATTGTGGGTCAGTATACTTAACTAAATAATCATGTCACCGCTGGTGCTCACGGCGCTGAAGAGGTTGTATCACGCGTTGACAAGTCCCACGTGGCATTTCAATGTCCCAGCTACTTATGAAGACCTTCGCATTGGGGGAAGATCGTACAGTGTCACAATGCGACTAGTGGCATAACAACTTATGAGCACTTAGGGGTAAGGTTGGCCGCCAGTTCGTCTGCAAAGTGTTGCTGATTGATGAATCGCACAAGTCACATCGAACTTCGGCATCTGCTGTTCAGTGAAAAGTTATGTTGGACAGTATTGAGTTGTCGCTTAAAAGCGAACCACTTAGGTCATGCGCTTCGTATGCCGGTAAGCCGGTTGCTTCAGTGTGTATCGCTGGCGATCAATAGGTCTAGTTGAGAAAGACCAAGGCCTGGTTAGCCCATTTCGTGGCTAAAGAACATGGAGAAGTGCGTTGAACGGCTAGGTAAGGTTAGTGTGTGGTGTTTTACTTGATGGGGATGTATGGGTCGGACACAATATGAGGCGGTTATCTTACCGGATTTGTTGCACCAAGAAGCAGGTGATAGCCTTGTGTTCGCCCTCTTGTTTCTGAATCTTAGATGCACAAGCCGATAAATTTGACTTCTTGAATTGTTATTAATATTACTATTACCTGAACCCATTACACTACACTGCATGGATTATTGTGGCTCAACCGAGCCAACCTGGAAGTGATACCGAATGAGCTGCATCACAAAAACGAATGCTGTCTAAAACAGAACCGCGGGTAACGGAATGAGACGGAAAGCCGTAAAAATGTGACAAACAATGTTGACATGTGACAAACCGACCACCAGTGATAGGTGTGTGCCTACCGAGACAAACATATACCAGATCCCGAAGTTGGGGATTACAAGACTAGCGACGATCATCTGGTGGACCGGGTGATAAAGCGGCGTACAGCCATGTTATCTCGGTTCCGCACTTCATAAATGATGCGAACCTCTTGCATATGTACATGTAATTTCGACACATGGGCTTTGTATTTTCCGCTTAAGTCGTCCGATCCACTTCAGTAGAGAAGTGAAAGATGGTGCAAAGGGCAAGCAGCGATAACAATGCTGTCACTTTAGAGTTAGGCTTGGAATTCTGGGAAAACGTAAGAAATTTGAGATCGGGAACACATGCAGTTCCGACCCCTCTGATTGAGTTACTTGTGTAAGATCTTAGTTAACAGAACCACAGGATAGAATAGTCCTAATAGGTCAGGTGATGAGTGAACTAAAAAATATCGAAAAACGTACCGTAGCCCCCAGCAGTGAGAAGTGATGCACGAAGATAGGTTGCAAATTGCGCTCTAACAAATACGTTCAGTGCGGAGATAGCTGGAAAACAGACGGTGTGCAGACATGAAAACAAAGCAAGTAGATCCAAATGGCAAAAACAATTTGACACCTAGTTAGAAGCGGCGTAAACACAGGTGCGTCCACTGAGTAATCTGTAGAGCAAGACGTAGCGGAAAAGCAAAGAAGTATTAAGTATGCGAGGGACATAGAATAAATGCAAAATATGATAAAACAGACAATCAAATGTGGCAAGGATGGCACAAGCGCAATGTGAATCAAAGTAAGCACAATAGCTAGGCTGATCGCGCAGGGAACCGCGTTCAAAGGTAGTCACTATATCGACAAACAGGGTACGAATTTAGACGAAAGATGTTTCCACGCATATATGGGTGTGCAACAGGTTTTCCACTCGCCGAACTACCTGCAAGCAACAAAGCCAACAGCCCGTTAGAAAGAAGATAAATCGAGAAGAGGATTCGCACTGCAGCGAAAGAATAAATTGCAGAAAGACAAAATGTACCGAAGCCAGAAGCGGGTGAGGTGAGCGGTTATCATCATCATCATCCTTATACACGTCAGCTACAGGTGTAAAACACCTCAGTTATTGTACCGTAATACAAAAACAAGAAGAAAATACAAGGGAAGCACACCGGCTAAATCCCCGGTAACGGATGGATATCGTTATGGAGAACTAGCAGCCGGCTGTCGTGCCGCAAAAAGAGTTATATTACGCCTAACGAATAAGATCGTGATTGGAGGAGGAGGTTAAGTGGAAGGGGGACGGACAAAGAAACTCACAACACAAACGGCATTGGGGCCGGCTCTTAGCCACATCAGCAAGTTTGTCCAATCAAAAGAGCCAGGCAGTCGAGGTGCACCAACCGACGAAAACTTCGGAGTGAGGGTTTTCATTTATCTCGACCAAGTCATCGCTTGGCCTCCCTTCTTCCGCTTCCAACCGCACGCCCGGAGCGCAAACAATGCACGTCGTAGGAGTTGATGTGCTCGCATGCGTAACACATGGCCTAGCCATCGGAGCCTGGTGTGTGTGATATACTGGTGCTGAGCGGTTCATTCGCTCTTTCTGCACCAAATACGCGACGCCGAACACGCTCAGTGCTCACGCGGTGCTCCCACCAGATATGAGCTAAGCTGCGAAAGCAGCGATGGTCGAACGTGACCAGCCTCTTTATGTTTGTCGACCTAATGGCCAGGTTGACCGGACGGCTGCAGTATACACTCTACCCTTCAGGGAAAGAGTAATGTCGCGTCTGCGCCACCTCATCATCGTCATTATACACGTCAGCTAGAGGTGGGAAACACCTCAGCTACTGTACCGCAATACATAAAGGAAAAGGAAAATAAATACAACAGTTGCATGCCAGCTGAGCAACCAGCAACGGATAGGCACCGTTCCGGTAAGCTACCAGCCGGCTAGTAGGCAAAAAGAAAAATTATTATGTTTTAAGCCACAGGTGGCGGAAATTGGCAAACGCACCTCGAACTTTCGCTATACGGTTCGTAATCTCATCTTCGATCCCACTGACGCTAATATAGTTGCGCAGGTACTTGAATTCCTGAACGACTTCTAGCTGATCACAAAGCGTTAGCGCAGAGGTGGGTCCCTGCCAATCTTGGAGAAGTACTTTGCATTTCGATGGAGCAAAGCATAGCCCAAAACGATTGACAGCCAGTGCTAATCGGTCCAGTGCAGCCTGGCACGTTTGGGCGTTGTCACATATGAGGGCAATGTCGTCCGTATACTCCAAGTCAAGAAGGCGCTCATCAGGAAGTAGCTCTACACCTTCTGGGTCGTGTCCAGCGAACGCTGTTTCCATGACTTCATAAATAACGAAGTTAAAGAAGAAAGGTGACAGCAGGCAACCTTGTCTCACACCACTGGAGTTGCTGAAAGGCGTCGACAGTTTGTCATAAACCCTCACTCTGCCCGAACTATGCGCGTACATCGCTTTGATAATGTTTACATATTTATCGGACACACCTTTTCTCAGCAGACAGTCCCAAAGGGCATACCGATCTATCGAATCAAAGGCGCATTTAATGTCGAGAAACACGACTACGGCGGGTGGCCAAAAACGTGGCGGTGCTCCAACAACTGACGCAAAGTGAAGATGTGGTCGATGCAGCCTCGATTTCGACGAAACCCGGCTTATTCTTCGCGGATCTGGCCTTCACGAGCGCCACACATCTTGTGGAGAACGACAGAAGTAAGCAATTTAGAGGCACTTGAGATCAGACAGATCCCTTTATGGTTGCTGCCTTCCGAACGGGAGCCACCCTTAAAATTTGGGACTCTGACGGAGCGACCCCAGTCTGTCGGGACAGTTTCCTGCTCTCAAAGTTCCATTAGAAACTCTTGTAAATCATCCACAAGAGTAGGTCCCCCAAATTTGTAGAGTTGGGGGAATTCTATCTGCACCAGCGGCCTTATGCAATTGCAGCAGTTTGATCTCACGTTCGACTTCTGCGCGTGAGGGCGGATCTAAGGGGACGGACTATGGAGAAGAACACTCAATGCCCGAATGAGAAAGCGATAACTCAGATTGGTTAAACTGTCTTGTAAAGTGTTCAGCCCAACGCTCCAAGCGTTTTGACAAGCTGTGGATCGACTATGCACTCTCGCCGCGTATTGTCTCGCTAACACCAGGTCTCCTTATGCCTGTTTCCATTTCCGATGCACGATGAGACCAGTGGGTTTCGCGGTCTCTCCTCAGGCAAGCACACAGTTTTGCTCTGAGATTTGTGTAAGTCTCATTGTATTCGCTTCCAGAAGGAATACGTCGGTGAGCATCCACAAGTTCCAGAGGCTTTGTAGAAACCTAATGTCTAGGTTGGCATTTGATTTGACACATGAAGACATGTTTGCTGATAGGAACTTTTGACGAATATGCGACCAATGATCTTCGACGGTGTTTAGTGGATGCTTACTGAGCCCAGATGACAGCATAGTTTGATACGCATTCAGAACACCCGGCTTCGCCAGCTGGCTGGTATCAATGTGCTCAAAGCAACGTTGCGAATGTCCGCCGAAACGCACCCGTAGGTCAGGACACACGAGAGAATGATCGGAGTCCACGCTGGTGTTCCAAATCGAACAACAGTTTTGGACACAGCCTCTCCAGCGGTAACTAATCGCGTTGTGATCGATTTTCGTCCACGGATGGAACGAGAGTGATGGGCGCCAAGTCACTCTTTTGCGGGTGCTGTGTCGAAAGTTAGTGCTCGCAAGAAAGAGACGAGCACCTTCACATAGGTGTAGCAACCGCTCACCGTTATCATTACAAGAGCCTACACCATGTTGGCCGCCCAGATGAAGCTCATCAGAGGACGATTTTCCGACTTGGGTATTCAGATCACCAGCAAGCACCACAGTATCCGTGTTGCTTTTGTAAAGAAGAAGATCGTTAAGTTGGTGACAGAAATCATCTTTCATCGAATCAGGACTGTAGTTTGTGAGGGCGTAAGCCGCAATGACAAACAGGCACCGTTTGTCCCCGCGCGACTTCGAAGCCTGGAACGAACCAGCCAACCTAACGGCGCACATCCGGCTGTTGACAGGGATCCAGTCGATCAGGGCAGCTTCAGCCCGGGGACTCAAAACAATGCCGAGGCCAGCTTGACCCGCATTTGAGCGGTAACGCAGTTAGTATAAATGAATGACACAATCTCGCTTGCAAGGCCGACTTATGGCAACGCGGAAGTGGTAAGGTGCACCAAGGACACCGTGAGGTAGGTATTAAAAGGTGCCCGTAACATCGACTCTGACTGGGGAGCCACACAGCGGGGCGCAGAGTAAGACGATCAGAAATAGAGTTGTCGCGTTAGTTAATGTGTTTTATCAGATGATCGCGAGAATCGCAAAATATGTCGTGCCAGAGGAAGGACTTTGTCACAGATGAATATGGAAGAGTATACTAAGTAATATGTTGACTCACAAGGAAATCGAAGGAGAATGCTTTTTTGGCTGTGAGACAAGGGATCCCAACGGTGATTGACTGTGGAGGCAGTGGCGTGTGGCAGTGACAGATCGTACGCACTTAATTGTGCATGAAACCATTGGGTAACTAATTTCTGCAACTGATCGATGAACACGCGGTCCAACCGAGTGAGCTGCATCGCTTGTGAAAGAGAAGTCGTGCAATGCGGACGATGACCATTGGGTGAACAAAAGGTTATGGTTTGTGGTTGCCGTTTAAGCTGGAAGTGGGCAGAGGTGTGAGATGAGAAATAGGATAATAAACGATGATAAAATAACTGGCGACTAAGAGCTCAAAAAAGAGAAAGGGGAAACAGAGAATAAAAAAGAGAGGACACTGAGTTCCGGAGTTTATGGAGCGCCCAGTTGGAGTGGCATTTATCCTATATAAGAAAATCCAGGTGAGGAGTTATCGACACAATGAGATTGAAAAAGACAAAGGGAACCCAACAAAGGACTTTGAGGCGCAGGAAATGTGACAGCAGTACGATTTCAGATAGTTTCGGCTGTGTGTGACCCGCCTTGTCGAAATCCAACAGTAAGAAACGCAGGCACACAAACAAGGAACCGAGAAAGTGATGATGTATGATGAAAAAAACTAAGTAGTAGGGTGACGAGATCGTAAGCCTACTTCACCATCGCTGACATATTTCAGAGGTAGGCGGAAGAAGAGGGTGCTCCGCCGATGGGATTACAGCAGGGTGTACCAGCCTGGATAAATGGACTGTACAATGCTTGGATAAGATTGATGCTTTCAGAATGTGCGTTAGTCGTACAGAGAGCCACTAGTCGGGTCGCCTAATTCATGAGCTGCAGCGTCAACACATTTAAACGATCATTCGCATCTATTCTGTGGAAATCATACCACATTTGGAAGTGTCAAGCGCTGTTCGTGGACCTCTGGCCTAGTGACCAAGCACAAGCCGTTAAACACTACGTATCGGGTTCCACTCCCACTCGAGGGAGAGTAGAAATCAGGAAGAAATAAAGTGTGGATAGCAATGTTGGGAAAGGTACTGAGAGCAAAAGAAGGGGCTCGAGCAAAGCGACCTGAGGTCACCATTACACGTTAGATATCGATGAAAAACATAGCTATTGCGCTGAAATACAAATAGACAAGGTACATGAGAAAGCAATACATTAAATATCCCAGAACACAAAATATGCGATCCAGCCGGAAAGTGCTGGCGAGCATCGATATCTTCCAGATACTACGAATAGACCATATCCATGTTGGCTATTGCATTTATCACATGAGGATTTACTTGCTGCTAGTAAGATCTGCTGAACATGATACCAGTGATATTTAATTGTATCCAGTGAGCGATAACTCAACCTGCAAGTCAGCGTACTTCGATACGCATTCCGAACAGCTGGGGGGGGGGAACGGGACGATAGGGTTGAAAAAGCGTGAGAATAACAAAAAGAGGGCTTGAGTGGTAGCATACAAATCCCTATCTATCCTGCTCGATGCAGCAGATAGGGCGTTATTAGCCTCTGCCACCGCTAGAGAATCAAGAAATCGCTTAAGGAAAGGTTGATAGGTGGCGGAGATGGGCAAACCCCACGAGCTTTTGCTATAGGGCTCGTGACCTCATCTTCTGCTCAACAGACGCTAATATAACTGCCTGGATACTTGGCTTTCTGGATTACTTCTAACTGATCACTGTTAAGGGTCAGTGCAGGGGTGGATCGGTGAGAATTTTGGAGAAGGAATTTACATTTTGACCGTGCAAAGCATATCCAGAAACGACTGACAGTCAGTGCCGAATTGTCCACTGCTACTGGGCACCTTTGGGGACTGCAGCAAACAAGGGCAATGTCGTCGACATACTCCAAGTCAAAACGTAGCTCACCTAGAGGCAGCACCATACCTTGTAGGCCGCATCCAGTGAACGCAGTTTCTATGACTTCGTCAATGTCGAAGCTAAAAGAGGCGACAACGGACAACCTTATCTTGCACCGCTGGAGATGTTGAAGGGAGGCGACACCTTGCAATAAACCCTCAGTCTGTCCGAATTATGCGCGTGCAGTGCTTTTATAGTATGTATGTAGATATCAAGCAAACTTTTTTTGTGAAGACAGCCTCAACTTTGATGTCAAGGAATATGACTAAGGTGGGTCACCAATAAATATGGCGGTGCTCAATACAGACTCCATTTGGACGAAACACGGCTTGCTCCTCACGAAGGTGAATTTCAGGGGTGCGAGCAAGTCTATGGAGAATGACAGAAGTAAATAACTTAGAGGGTGGAGATAAGATCGATCCCATAATGACTGCAGCATTAGGAAAATGCTAAGATCATAACGATGCGGCTTCTGTCAGTTAGGGAAATCTCCTGCTCCTACAGTTGTGCAAATAATTTAGGAGAGCTGTTCGCCAGAATGTGAGGAGGGTTGGAGGAGATCTATCTGATGCTCCGGTCACATTCAATTTCAAAAGTCAATAAACTCTCATTGATAAAGTTCATTTCAGTTGGGCCGAGCAGCGAAGTGCGGTGGATAAGGTTGCTATGACTCACACCGTAAGAATGACAATAAATAACAACGAAAAGCCAGTTGGTTTGGGTGCGAATAGAATGTAGAGAAAATGGTACTGTGATGGAAATGCTTTAGACTAATCAGAATGGAAAGAAAATTAACTGACAGATAAAAGAAACCGAATGCAGGAACTCCACTGGCTTTGTGACCGCAGATGTCTGACACGGTCTCCAACCATTGGTGTGGACCATCCCGAGGCCCCCATCCCCGACGAAGTCTCTCAATCATCTTCTTCATCCCGCTATGCTAAGTCATGGAGTGGTCACCTGGAGGTTTCACCTAACTTGGTACAGCAGCGGCGCATAATGCACGCCTAGGAAGCCTATAAACTGTAATACGGAGGACATGGCCTGGCCAACGCAAGCGACTAAGATTCAGCAAACACTCGAATGAGGCACAAGAAGGCCTCTTGTCAAAAACCAACTGGCGGACCTCAGCGTCGCTTATCCAGTGTTCCAGCCAGACGTGAGCAATACACTGCAAGCACCGGTGGTCAAACACGGCCAAGCGTTTAATGTCTTCGCCGCGAACTGACCAGGTCTCTGATCCATACAGTAAGATCGGCCTTACTGCAGCGTTATGCTTCCTAACTTCCACTGACAGGCTGGTATCACGCCTTCTCGATATATGGTTTAGTCTCTGAACTGACACAGGAGCCAAGCTGGTAAGGGAAGTAACCTCCGCAGTGATGTGGCCACCAGAGGTGACACAGATACTAAGGTAACTGAACCGATCCACCACTATCAGTGGGTGTTGGCTGACAGCTAATACCGGTGCCGTATGAGTTCAGTCCTGCCACAGTGCCTTGCATTTTGAAAGTGTAAAGCACATGCCGAAGCGTGCAGCGCTACGCACAAGTCTGTGCAGTAGTGTTTGCACAGTCACTACGTCAGATCCTAGGAGAACTGTCACCCGTGTACTCAAAATTTGTCAGTCGGTCAAGTGGCAGAACTTCCACTTCGGAACAGTCTGAAAGAACCGAGTCATACAAGGTCATTTCGACCACAAAGTAGAAGAGAAAAGAAAATATAACACGATCTTAGCGAACTCCAATTTTAGTAGGGAACTCACGAGACAGCTTTCCGTAGACTCTTACCCGGTCTTGGAGTAACGTTAGAAAGGCATAAGAATGGAAAGGAGCTCAAGTAACATGCTCCTCATGGATAGGCAGTGCCACAAGCTGGAGCGGTCACTAGAGTCGAAGGCAGCTTTCAAGTCAAGATAAACTACCATAGTCAGTCGTCCGTATAAAACATTATGTGGTCGATGCAACTACAACCAGGGCGGAATTTAGCTTGGATCTCAATGATCCGGCTCTCACAAAGAATGATACCCATGAGAAGCTTAGAAACAACGGAAATAAAGCCAATGCCTAAGTGACTTTTGCACAAAGATCCTTGAAACCTTTTCAAGATGTAAAGCAAAAGTTGGCAGTCATTAGTCTGAAAACATCTTCCGCCTTCAAATGCTGTTGAAAAGAACACCATGCCCAGTCACCACCATCGTTCAGCAAAGATGAAGGGAGGTCGTGGGGTCTAGCATTCTTGTTTCGTTTAGGCACGGCAAATTTATGCCGAATCTTTTTAAAGGTGGAGGTATAACATCGACTTCAAATACTCTTCAAAAGGTTCTGCCAAAGGAGCTAGTCAACGCTACAATCTCAACCCGTGTTCCGGATGAGCTGAAACCGTACTAGACAGTTCCCGACGACAGTCACTTTCTCAATCTCACGAACCCTTGTTATCCACCAACGTTCCATCTTATTGTCCATTCACGGAGTTTCGGACATAATGAAACTCAGTGTGTCCGCGTATTATAATACAGTAGATATCCACGAAACCATGGTAGAAGCCTGAAGAGAATAACGCATTAGTAGCCAGCCAAAACAGACGACTAAGTATGTAGCGATTGCATACAACAAGAACGTTTTTGAACTAGCAACAGAACTACCACAACCACATGGAATCACGGTGGCACACAAACCAAATGCTACCGTGATTTTAAGACTGAAGGACAAAATCAAAAAATAAAACCCATCTACCAGATAGACCGCAGCGAATGTGATAAGCACTTCCGACAAACAAAAAGAAAGCTTTTCACATGGAACACAGAACATAAGAAGGCCATAAGAAGGCATGATCCCTATTCATTGGTTTCCATGCACGAGGATGAAACTGGTCATCGTCTTGACCTGGAAAACGTTAAGATTCTAGCACATGGAATAGGAAGGAGGCAAGAAAATCCTTAGAAGCACGGCATTCCACGAACAATTCGATCAATCGACGTGTTGAATTGGACGTCATCTATGCAAAGCTATGAACAAGGAAGTTCCACCGCATTGGAATACACCCAATGGAAGAGGACACCATATGAGCAGCCCAGGCAACATTCAGCAGCGGACGCATAGGTCGAAGAGGCCGTTTCCAAAGGTCCCCTGTCTAGATGACCAATGACGATGATCTATAAAAACGCACACATACGACTGCTCGGTTCACACCTATATACGTTTCGCTACACACTAACGCACTGATGATGTCACCTCCACTGGTGACGAGATGTTTGCAACAAAATTGTACAGCTCAACGAACAGTTTAACAGCTGCAACCTTCCCTAGATATTGTAGAGAAAAGCTTTAAAATGTCCATCGAGCATTTCGGTATACCACTGATTCACAAGCTGCTTCATGCACTGTTAGCAAGCTTCAAATGCTACTAATTTTAGCGATGAAAGGTATAGAGTAAGTC